AAGTTCGAAAAGATGCGTGTGGAATTGGGGATGCTACGGCTCAAGTGATTTTTGTTTGGAACCCCTAAGGTAAAATCGAATGTAACTAACAATGCTATGCTCAATCTTGTGTGCATAACACAGCTGAAATTACCCAGGGGAGAGATTTGTGAAAGTATTGAAAAGTCACTCATACATACTGTTAATATGTTGAAAATATTGAGTCATGTTGTTTCAAGTTCCCTTTTCTTATAAAATCACATACTCTGTATTCTGATCACGTAAATTATCATCATAATTTACGATTTATTTGTACATATTTTTTATTCCCTATTTTTCTTTCATTGTGGTAATTTCAAATTTATTTGTTGTTATCTTTTATTTTCTTTTTATTCTTATCTTTTATTTTCCTTCTTTATATTTTTCCATAAAATTCAAAAACACAAAAAGATTTTCCCGTAAGATAAGGAGTTTGTATATTCACTACTCCTTAACTTCCGATTTTTCTTATCTTTTAAAGTTTATCTTTTATTTTGTTAAGTTTCAAAATTGCAATTATTACTTCCATTAAACCCATCCAATTTTCAATTCCCTAAAGCGTCACTTACCCTATTAAAACCCACTAACTCACCTCATTAAACCGTCACCCATTACTTCTCACACTTCCCCATTCTTACTCTTCCACACTCCAACTTCACCAATCATATCAATTTAATTCCCCACACCCACAAAATAACCGGCATTACTCTCTCTCCTCTTTCTAAACTATTCGTCTTCCTCTTCTTTCTACTCATCACCATAACCATGAAAACCAACCTCAACACAACACCGAAACCACCAGAAACACGAACCCCTCCATCCAAACCTCCATCCACTGACGGCTCACCTGAACCAGTCCCAATTGCCGTCGTTCACCCACCAGCTCCACCAAAGAGGAAGGCTACAACCGTGAAAGGAGGTGATAGGAAGCGGGGAAGCTCTCAAAAATTTCCGTCTTGGAACTACACTCATGGCTACCACATCAACTATGATTGGTGTACGGCAAGTAAGTTCTCAGAATTCACCTCCTTAATTGATTATCAAGAATGGGTGCATTTGTTCCAAAATTATTCTCATTATCCCATATATCCTAAGCTTCTATTTGAGTTTAAAAACACTTTCAAACACAACAATGGTGTATGCACGGCTATAGTCAAAGATACTCATATTGAATTTGATGTTGCATATTTAGGGAATTTGTTTCAAGTTCCCACCTCTGGCTATAGTTCGTATGTAAAACATAAGCAAATTGTGCAAATTGGGCATTATGATGAGAATAGAATAATCAAGTTCATAGGTGGTAGCCCAAAAGGCAAGACTTCACATCACAACATACTCTCTCCTCTTCACAAATTATTGTTCAATTTCACATGGAGAGGTATTGTACCCCATTTGCAAAAACGCAGCACAGTGTCTTTACTCGATGCAACAATCATCTTCTGCCTTACACGTAAAATAAAAATAAATTTTCCAAAATTGATGATTGAACATTTACTTTTTTATGCTGCTAAAACAACTTTTCCATATGGGTCTCTTCTTACTGTGTTGTTTAAGTCTTTTGGGATTGATGTCGAAAGTGAGTCACCCACTTACATTAAACCTGAGAACATCCTTTCTGAACAATATTTGCTTCGCCTGAGCCTTAAGCTTGAGAGTGGGAGTATCTCTTTCTTATCTAGAGGGGGAGAGGAGAAAACCAGAGGGAAGGGAAAATCACCTGTTGTAGAGGGAGATATAAGTGATTCGGAAGAGGAGGGCAGTGAATCAGAAAAAGAAGAGAGTAAAGAAACTAGTGAGGGAGACAAAGAAGAAGGAGATATTTCTGAGGGGAAGCACAGGAGGCAGAACATGAGAAAGGAGAGGAGACACAGAGTGAGGGGGAACCTAGTTCAGAGACTGAGAGTCTTGAAATTCCTGTGTTTTAGGGGGAACTCAGAAGGAGTAAGAGAAAAACTGTCAAACCTGCCTTTCCTACTCCAAAGCCTGTGATTATTGAAGACATTAGTTCTTCAGACCACTCTAATCCTGACTTTACCCCTACTCAAGTTCCTTTTGCTTCTAAGCCTTCTTCTATTCATGATTCCTCACTAAAACAAACTGAACCTTCTTCCATTCCTGTTTCACCTCCAAAACAGACTTCTCCTTCTCCTTCCCAGCCTTTTCCTCCATCACAGCTTATAGGCTTTGCTGCGTTCTCTAGAACAAATGCTTCTATTTTTTATATTCAACAGGTGAAAACAGATATGGAGAAGCTGACAAAGATGGTGAGCACAATGCTGGAGGAAATGACGAAGCAGCTGACTACTCTTCAACACCAAGTGCAGGCTGTGGCTGAAACCCAGACAACTAGTATTACTGGGATTGAAGAAAGGGTTGCTGCTGCTGAAAAGAACATCATGGGGAGCACTTAGGAGATCTTGAAAACGATCAACAGGGTGGCTTTTGAGGAAGTGGAAGAAGCCTCTAATGACCCTATCAACCCATCTGATGAACCTACCTATTCACCATAATTGCAGTTTCAAACTTGTCACTTTTTAATTTCTTTTGGTTTTGTTTTTCTGGATTTCGGTTTGTAATCTCATAACTTTTGCTACATTATCTCTGCTTTTCATTTCCTTTAATCGGAACTTGGCTCTTATTTTTCCATATGATTGTGTGTGCTTGTTGGTAATTTAATACCTAACTTATTTTTGCCTTGCATTATTTGAGCTCACTATTCCCTACGTAGTCTAGTGGGAGTATAGCAAAATGTTATTTCTACTCTTTTGATAATGCCAAAAGGGGAAAAAGACAAACTTCATGGCGGCTAAGGTGTTACCAAGGAACTCACACATCGAAGGTACAAAATTACTTGCTAAGCTCATACAGTTAAATAAAGTCTTTAGTTCTTAAATAAAGTCTTCAGTTATTAGTTATTTTGCTTAGTTATTAAATAAAATCTTTAATTAGTTTGTCTGTTTTTATTTCTATGTTTTCTATGTTTTATTGTTTTCATATGTTGCATGCCTGGACAATTTTTTTATTTACCAAAGTTTGTCAGTGTTTGTCATCATCAAAAAGGGGGAATTTGTTGACCCTTTTGGTTTTGATGGACAAACTTGACTAACTTGACTAACAAGAGTTTTTGAGTCTTTGGTGAATAAAGGGTTCAAGCACAATCCGTTCCGGAGTAGGAACTTGATACAAAAGATGCGGAGTAGCATCAAAAGGCCTCTTACAAATCTCACGTTCTAGTTTTTAATTGTAAGCAGTCAATAATATAAGTTGGAAAGGAACTCAATGATTTATGTTAAAGACTACTGGAATAAAAATTAGTTTTACAAGATAATTTTTATTTGAGGAAAAGATAATTTATAAATGTTTTATCTAGTCTACCATTTTCGAATAAAGATAATTAATCTTAATTAATTATCTTAGTTGTTTTTAAATAATTAAATAATTTATAAATTATCTTTTCAAAATAAAATCTTTTCTTTTAAAACAGAATATTTGATCTAGTCAAATATTGTTTTCTTGTTGCATGAATATCTCAACAAAATTGTTTTTCCAGAAACTATTTTTAAGCATGTTGACTGCTACGTGGGTTAAAGGAGAGATTTAAGAAATCTCCACTACCTTGATCATAGTCACATTCTCCACTATTAGTTAGTGGATGTTGACTGGAAAATGGTTGAGGTACGTGGAGGTTAAGGATTAAATCTCCCTATATAAACCACGTACATATTCATTGCAAAATACACCTCTTGAGCTTCAATATTCCAGTAACTAAAATAACGTAAGAGCGTTCCAAATTGTTCTTATACTCTTGAGTGTCTAGGTATTTGTAATTGCAATTTGTAATCAAGTACTTGGGGTTTGGGATTGTGAGTTTTGTATCAGTGAGGTTAAGGAAACTTCATAGTCGAAGTTTCTGTGAGAATTGGGAACAAGTTCCAAATTTGTGGAACTTGTTACGGGTTTTAATCTTCACGTGTAAAGAGTTTAATTACATAGTGGAAATTTACAAAAGCCCATATCATCTCTCTTTATTGTTCTTATTAGTTAAATTCCGCAAAAAGTTTTAAACTTCACCTATTCTACAATTCACCCCCCCTCTTGTAGAAGCCAGTTAGAGTTTCAGTTTGTAAATACTATGCACAACATTTTTCACTTAATTTGATGTACTGACAAAAATTATAAACTGGATATGCACAAAATTTGATTTTCTTTCTTAATTGCTCTCTTAAAATTTGTTGATTCTGATTATAATCATGAATATGATTATTGTTTAGGTGGCTATATCTAATCACTGCAAAAGATATTATATTTCCCAAACTAATTATACATACATACATACATACACATATTTCCCACGGGATTATTTATAGAATTATTTAACATTAATAACATTGTCATTAAACAAATTAACTATAAAAGAAATACTCAATGATGTAACAACATCTAATTCAAGCCCATTGTAAATCCCTTATCCAACCCACTACATTAAATCAATTACTGAAACCCTATTATGTACTCCTTCTGTCCCTATTTTATTGTCCCATTTGACTATACACGGTCTTCAAGATGCGTCTTAAAACATCTATATCTTTATGTCCATATGCGTGAAAATTATAAAAACGTGATATTAATAAAATATACAACGAGACGAATCTAAGAAAATTACTCATGACTATATTATCGTTTATAGATTAACGGTAATTTATGGTCAAAATTTTTAAAGTTTGACCTAAAAAATGACAATGGGGCAAAAATAAAGGGACGGAGGGAATATGAGATCATACAACGATTATCAGTTTGAAATGCCACGGAAAATGAGCATCACGACGTGTAAAAGAAAGGAAAAAGTATTGGTCCCACAGGGCCACATTCCAAATTCTTACAACAATAACTCCTCTCGTATGCTCGTAGCCACGTTAGACCATCCATCTAGTAGCTTCATCATCTAAGATCCTTATAACAATGCACTTTACTTGTATAAATTATAAATTATAAATTATAAACCACGTTAATTGTGTGTTTATGTGATTTGTATGATTGTATCTTTCTATCAAAACATAGCCGTAAATAAATAAGCGTCTCCACTCTCGCATATTCTCACTCTCAATTCTAAACATCTCAAATTCGACTCATCATTCCATTCGCAAAATGGCTATCGAAGTTTGTGTCAAAGCTGCTGTCGGTGCTCCTGATATCCTAGGCGACTGTAAGCCCCCCAAATTTTAAAAAATTGTTTATCTACCTTAATTTTTATCCAATTATTGGGTTTTTTTTTGTGAATTTTGGGTAATCAATCTATAATTATGATAATTTAGGTCCATTTAGCCAAAGGGTTCTTTTAACATTGGAAGAGAAGAAAATCCCTTATCAGATGCACCTTATTGATGTTAGTAACAAGCCCAAATGGTAATTTCAATTTTTTTTTTTTAATTAATTTATTTATTTCTATTATTATTATTATTATTTATTTTTTTTCTCATTTATGATCAAAATATTTGTGGGGTTTTTTTTAATTCTTATTTATTTTTAATTTTTTGTGAAGATACTGTGGTGGGTTTTTCTTGTATGTAATGATTTATTATTATTTTTTTAATAATCATGAAGGTTTTTGGAGGTGAATCCTGAAGGGAAAGTACCAGTGATTAAGTTGGATGACAAATGGGTTTCTGACTCTGATGTCATTGTTGGCCTTCTTGAGGAGAAATATCCTGATCCTCCTCTTGCTTCTAACCCTGAATTTTCATCTGTGTAAGTTTTCTTTTTATGTTTAGTTTTGTGTATTTTATTCGGATTTAGGGTACTCATGTTGGAGATGGGTACGTGTCCAAGTATAAGATGTTATTTTGTGATATGCTTCCATGATTTTGGTCTAAACTGGAGTGTCCAAGTGTGGTTACTTATGTCGGAGTGTCGAGGGTTTTACAGAGGTACTTAAGTGAAAATAATCGTGTGCGTAACATATTTATACATTTTTTAATATAATAATCAAGTTTTTTAATGGTGGAGCAAAACATGCTGCATCTTGTTAACAGAATGTTTGACTCAACCTTGTTATTGTCAATTGTGACCTTTTAAGAATGAAAACAAAACTTGTTTTTTTGGTTATGACTTGTTTTATTAACTATTTTAGAGGCAGATATCAAGATTATAGTCAACAGGTTATGAAAGTATTAGTCAATAAAAACAAGTTCATGTTATTTGGAACCCAAATGAATTGTTATCTTTTGGTCAATGACGTATACTTGATAGCATTTTTGTGAGTTGATTATTGCATCACAAGGGAAATTCTGAAAATTTACTGCTTTTTATGGCATAAGAGTATAACACGGTGAGCGTCGCCTCACGAATTACAAATTTGAGGTTATGTAATGACAAAATTAAGTTTCATTTAGCTATTTTATTTACCTTGTTTGTTATGAAGTAGCTAGCCAACTGATGGTTTTCAATTCATGGACTAGTGAATGAAAACGTCTAAGCCCGTAGGAATATTTGGAACCTCATGACAAAGTCAGATTTGGTGAATCTTGACGGAGTCACAATGGTGTTTTTTTTGCTTGAATATTATAAATTTTAAATCTATAATTAACAATACAAGTACAGAACAAAGTATATTGATAAACCGAAGAAAGTAATTCATGTCTACAAGCTACTGCTCTCTAGTGAATTTTCTCCATCTGTGATACGGTAACTTTCATGTTATCTAAAGGGTGACGATTTTTGGAAGGAGGGAGGGGCCATATGTTTCTTTTGTACTGAGAATCCATCTAGCTGTTTAATCAATGTTTCTTTTCTTTTTGCATGTCTTACTAGTATGGAGGAATCTGATTCCAGATAAAAAGTAATATTGACTCGATGGCAATGATTGATACTTATGTTCACTTTGTGATGTTGACTACTGTATGAACTCAGGGGGTCTAAGATCTTTTCGACTTTCGTGACTTTCTTGAAGAGCAAGGATGCAAATGATGGGTCTGAACAAGCTCTGATTGTTGAGTTGAAGGCACTAGATGACCATCTCAAATCTCATGTATGCTTAAAAACAATGATTTTACTATTTCTGTCTATGGGGTTGGATAATTAACATATTGGTTTCTTGTCATTTGTTAGGGACCTTACGTGTGTGGACAGAAAGTTACTGCTGTTGATTTGAGCCTGGCACCGAAGCTCTACCATCTTGAGGTAGCCCTTGGCCACTTTAAGAAATGGTCTGTTCCTGAAAACTTATCTTGTGTTCGTGAATACATGAAGGTGAGAGTTCCTTTATATTTGTTTGGCAAGTGATACTCATTACATGTTCATTGGTAGTCTTTCCATCATTTAAAATTACTATACCTGTATTGTGGTAGTTTTTGTACTTCACCAACTTATCAGACTTTAGTTGCTTTTGTGATTTGTGGTTTTAGTTTACATGTTCCTATAAATACAGTTCTAATTTTTTTTTTTTTTTTTTTTTTTTTTTAAATTTTTTTTTTGTATATGAGTTACCTAACTCGTGATATGATAGAGCTTTTGAGTGGCTCTGGTAACTGGGTCAAAATAATGTAGCCCTGTTTGAGGTGATGTTAATACCACTATATAATCCTATTTGCCTATCAAATCCGAATTATTGTATAATTATCCTAGTTTCTGACGACTTTCTGTCAGAATCCTCTGGTAGATTGTTAATGTCTTCTCTGGCATATTCATATGTTGCTTCTCTGGTCTACTATGGGTTAACCCTTAGCGCATAGCTGCTATTTGTTAGCAAACACATAGGATGGAAAAATGTACTACTACATGCATAATAGGTGACAGGTGGTAAGTATTTTGGGGAAAAATATTCAGCCTATAGGATGGCAAAAAGTACCACTACATATATAATAGTACACAAAAAGTACTATTAAGACAACTTATACTTTAATGGTACATTATATATGCATAATGGTACATTATAATGTACCACTGTTGAGTCAGTTTTTTTCATATTTAATACTGAAGCTTGCCAAATTTACATTTCTGCCATTCTATATGCATTGTAAATGCATAGCAACTATGCGCTGAGATGCACTCTCTACTATGTATGTTTTTTAAGGCTTCAAAAAACTTTCTGTTTATATTTCTTCATTTATCTTTCTATAAGTGTGAAGGCTTGTTATTGTGAGAGAGGGGCCAAAGTGCTGAATAATGGAAAAGATAACAGGAATGAAGAAAACAATTAAAAATGATATGTACTGAAACTGGTGGGTTATGGATTACCATGTGTTTATATATTATAATGAATTAACTTTTTTTTTTTTTTTGAACACTTATAATAATGAATTAACCTCTTTAAACATATAATAATAATGCAGATAAAGGTCCCTTCATTTTTACTAATCACTGTAATCCCCCCAATAATGTCGGCAAGTCACTGTCAAAAAGCATTTTCTTAGTGTTTTAATTTTTTCTCGTTTTCAAACCACTAACCACCTAAATTTGCTTATGTATGTCCTACAAGATATCTGCTGATTGTTCCCACACAGTTGATCCTTAATCTATTTTTTGTCGTCTTTAAACAAGATCTCTGCTGATTATCATATATGTAATGCTAAATTAAAGCTTTGCAACTTTTGCAAAGTGATGGTGGATAAGCACCATACTGAATTTTATATGTAGGCCATTTTCTTTGTCATCCTCCCTCTCTTTAGTACTTGCAGAATGTGCATCTGCATAAGCCCTTGCTTGTCAACAATCAGCCAAATCCCTAAAATGCTCGATATAGGAAGTTCAATGTGTTGAATTGTTGATAGGTAGCACTCACAGAAGTCTTGATATGAAATCAAAAAACAACGAAATAAGCTTTGAGTTGCTTCAAAAGGTTGATGGTAAGATTCAGTGTTTAAGGGTCTAGTATAAGTTAATGACTGCTGGAAGTAATAATGGGGAGTTTTTATCCTGAACCATTCCTCCATATGCTACTCTGAGAACATTAAATCTTATGTTGGGGCTAAATGGTGGTTGGAGGGTATACAGAGAGCTGAAATTTTTGTATATTTGTATTCTATGTAGAAAATTAAATTGGAAATGAAAGCTGCTGTGTATTTTTCAACCTACAGAAACATGCAAAATATAGAAGGAAGCCAAAAGAGTGTGCATACCCGATAATGGAGAAAAGAAGCAGTGATTAAATTACAAAGTACATTAGAAAAATGGGGCAAACTTCATTTTATATCTTTATATAACAAGGAGTATAGAATTGTAGAAATGACCGTTGGTGGAGGAGAAGCATTGTATTGCAAGCATTAAAACAATCTGGCATATGTACTTTATACTATGAATACAATTCCGTTTAGTTTCAATTGCTGCTATTGGCATTGTTGCTTGTGCCATGTGCCTATTTACACTTCCCATATGAATATATTGATGATCTTCCATTATTGTCTTCTACCCCTTCTTTTTAATTAAAAACACTACTATAACTAAGCTAGCGTGAGTCTTGATAGATAGTTTCTGCTGGTTGGTTTTCATATCATCGTCATCACCATTTTGCTTGATGCTCTTTTCTTTAACACGACATAATGAATAGCTTAGCTTCTTATTTGTACTTGTCAGTGTCTGATTTGAAAAATAGCTGTGTAGCGTGACATCCATTTGCATCTAGTTCATCTTTCAAGAATTTGCTCTTATGTGATTTAGTTATCCTCCGGTTTTCTGATTAGCTGGTTTATGGATTTGCAGTTACTCTTTGCTCGTGAGTCTTTTGAGAAAACCAAAGCAGCCAAAGAACATGTTATTGCTGGTTGGGCACCAAAGGTGAATGCATGAATCTGCATCAGTAGATACTGAACTAAATACTAGCAGAAGTTCATTATGATCTTGTGCTGGTGAGGTATCTAGTATCGATGTTAATATTGAAATAAAACGCATTAGCACGAAGCTGATGAATTGGTGCAGGGATGTTACTTCAATGCTTGTAACCAAAACATCATTTCGAGTACTAATGCACATACTGGTTTGTCACTTTGTTGCAGTGTTTTCTTCTTGCTCCCTATTTTTGCTTTTTCCGTTGTGATTTTCGTCTGCCAAGGAGGGGTCTGGTTTGGTTTAGTACTTTAGTTTGTTTACTCAGAATTTCTGAACTGTTTTAGAAGGCTAAAGCTTTAAACCCGATTCAGGGCTTATCTATAATGTTAGCAATCATTGACGAGACATAATAACGTAATTTGAATCTACCTGAAGTTGCTCGGAGAAATACATAGGAATTCAATATGATATGAACCTTGCTTGGTTAAGAATGTAGAAGAGTATCTGTAGACTGCAACAGAACGTTGATTGTTCTCATTCTAACAGTGGTAGATGTGGGCTGTGTTCAACTGTAGGTGAATAAGTGGGTTTTGAGGGAAATGTTTATGCCACTGAATCACTGAGTAGTAGTAGTAGTAGTAGTAGTAGTATAGTAGTAGTAGTAGTAGTAGTAGTAGTAGAATAATAATAATAATAATAATAATAATAATAATAATAATAATAATAATAATAATAATAATAAAAAAAAAAAAAAAAAAAAAATTAGATCGTAGCTAAGGTGGACCTAGGTCCGGTTTGGGTTTGGTTAATATATCGTTGGAAAGCTCTTTTTAAACGAATCAGTCTACTATGGACACTAGTGTAGCTAGAATAGCTAGACCAGGCCCAACACGCTTGAAATTTTAACAATAGCCCACATGATTTACATCAGTTACTAACCCACGTGCATGATTTACCCAAAAAACTGCAACATTTCACTTCCACTGCAACATATCACCTTATTTCTCCATTTACACACGCATAATCTCTTTCATCATTTCTCTCTCTATTTTTTCTCTCACTAAAAAAACTAAAATCAACCACGGAAGTTCATGATCAACAAGATTCTCCAAAAAAAAGGTAATTTGTGTAAACAATACTTAAATTCGTTTAAATTTCGTATAATGTACATAAATTTATGCAAAATTCTTAATTTTTTGGGATTTTCTCATTTATATCACTAAACTTTTGGGTTTTCTCATTTATGTCCGGACTTTTTTAAAATTCCTACTTGTACCCCTCAATTTCAGTTTTTTTATCAGTTATACCCATCCCCTCAATTTTAGTTAGCTCACCGTTGACATTGTTGACCCTCAATTTTCGCTAGTCACTGTTCATGCTGCATTGTCACTCTGTCGGTCACTATTGACGGTACATTGACACCTCGCCGCTCAAGTCGTGCACAGTTTTTTTCATAGATAATTGGGGGTAGGGGTATAACTGATAAAAAAAACTAGAATTGAGGGGTACAGGTTAGAGTTCTGAAAAAGGTCGAACACAAATGAGAAAACTCAAAAGTTTAGGGGTATAAATGAGAAAAACCCTAATTTTTTTTACGAATATGTTCAGATTTTTTTTACTAAATGTTCAAAAGTATAGGCGTGGTACATTGCGATTGTTCAGATATTTTTACTAAATGTTTAAAATTTGCGATGTTCGATTTTTTTGCTAAATGTTCAGATTTTGCAATTGTTCAGATCTTTTTACTAAATGTTCAAAAGTATAGCCGTGGTACATTGCGATTGTTCAGATATTTTTACAAAATGTTCAAAATTTGCGATGTTCGGAATTTTCAAATAAAAGTTCAAAATTTGCAATTGTTTAGATCTTTTACTAAATGTTCAAAAGTATAGGCGTGGTGCACCTATTTCTAGATGGACCAGGGTCCATAGAAGAATTTGCGTTTTCAAGCCCCATCCAACTAAACAATAATTGGACTAAGATTATGGACCAAAATAATTTGGTTTGAACGTTTTTTATTTTTTGGACACGAAATGAACAATTTTAAGGACACGAAATGAATGATTTTGGATTTAAAGACAGGAAATGAATGATTTTGGATTAAAACATTTAGGTAAGGTTAGAAATATGGTCAAGGCTTAAGAAAACTTTGCAAGACTCTTCAACTCTTTACCGAACTCGTCAATCAAAGATACGAAAGGTACTCATCACTGGGTTTGTTTTTTGGGGAGACACAATCAGATGTCTACGGAAGTCCCCACTTTGATTGAGTTTGAAGAACTTTAGTTTCGAAAACGCTAGTCAAAGTGAGTCGATGGGGACGAAGAATGATTCAGAACGTTATGCGATCCTAAATCATCCTTTTTAACGCCGATACCTGCAGAAAGCATCAGTTCTACAAACAAAGGAGTTAAGGGAAGGAAACGCGTATCTGGGGGTGATGACAATCCCCTTTAGGAACAGTTGCCAATGCAAATCTTGAATGATGAGCAACAATCCGGTTCAAGAAAAGTTGTCAGTGCCACGTAACAATCCACCATAGGAAATGTTGCTACAATGAAACGACAATCCGCATCTCGGAAAAATTGTGAAAGTCCAACTTAAGAAAAAGTTGCCAACGGTGCATAACAATCCGTTATAGGAAATATTGCTACGATCGACAATCCACGCCTCGGAACATAACTCTCGAAAGACAATCCACTTCAAAAAATTTGTCAATGCTATGCGACAATCTATTTAAGAGAATATTGCCACAATCGACAATCCGCGTCTCGGAACATTTGCCAAACGAGCCAAACGACAACCCGCTTTAAGAAAATTTGCCACCACTGAAATGAATGACAATCCACGTCAGAGAACCTTTGCCGAAATATTGAATAATGACCCATGACAATCCTCTTTGGGGGAATTTTGCCATGGTGAACTCGGTGAATGACAATCCAATCTGGGAAAAATTACCAAGGGATTTAATGAATGTATGACATTCTAATCTTGGATAAATTGTTGAAGAAGATGACTTGCATGACAATCCAATCTCAGTAAAATTGCCAGTTGTAAAAGCGCTTGACAATCTACTCTTAGAAACATTACCAGTTTAGATGACAATCCAATCTTAGAAAAAATTGCCAGATAGATGAAGAAGATGCATGACAATCCACTCTTGGAAATATTGCCAGCGGGGATGATGTTCCTAACACCTGCAAAAAGTCAAATTTTGCCAAAGGACCTTGACAGTTGGTTGGCTTGAGGTTGACTCAAGGCTTGGTATACCTGACTCATTGTGTAACTTGATGTACTCAAATCAACTTGATGTATATTGACAGGACATGACTGAATGTGCATGACTCGTGTATGTAGACTTAACTTGATGTGGTGACACGACATGACTCAATGTGCATGACTTGTGTGTGCGTTGTGTTGTGATGGTGCTCGTGCAACTCGAAAATGCAAAAAAGCAAAAATCTTCTGTCATTTTTGTGGAGGGTACCGACTTTCTCCCGGAAAGAAAGAATGTAAAGTTGATTAGGGGGACTTTTCCCCACCACGTGGATCACTCAACTCCTGCCACGTGGACCAATCAGAGTCTGCCACGTGTCACCTTGTGAGAGGTCCAAGGTGGACCAATCAAGCTATGACACGTGGCAGACAGATAGCCTTCCAGAAAGCTAGCCTCTTACGGCCTAAATTCCCAGGCAAAGCCTAGTCAGTCCTAGGTTTACTGAAACCTAGTACTGGGCACGTTTCTCAACACCATATAAAAGGGAGATGTATCCCTCTGAGGAACATCTATTCAGAAATATTTAATTCACATTAACTCACCATTAGAGAAAGTCAGACACCTGACACCTCGAACTGAGAAATTACACATTGCAAATACTCTCTTGGAATCCGAGAGAGACATTACTTTCTGCACTTTACTCCTCATACACGTTCTAACTTGATCGTCGGAGGCGGAACTCCCACCCACCGGAGTCTCTGTTGTTTTGCAGGTACAGGTGTCCAGAGGTCAGTCTTGGAATTATAACTCTCCCGAAGGACATCAAAAAACCCCGAAACATTTGGCGCCGTCTTTGGGGGAGATTACTTCAAAGATGACTTCACAAGAACCTGTACCACCTCTTAATGAGAAACGGCCTACACCCAACGTTCAGGTCTTCACAGACCAAGATACGGATGATGACTATGAAGTCGCCACACATACGGCCCCTGACGGGTCTCTCAGGACACGGCGCATCCGTCCCACCGAAAGGAGGGAACGGAACGTTGACCAAGCAGGGCCCGGTGAAACAGTCGGCCAGCCGACTGGTCAGCTTCAGGTTGCCGAAGGATCCACCCCCATTATTAGAAACGATCTCATGACTCTCATGACAAGTTTCAAAGGGGAGATAAAGGATCTAATTGATAAACGGACGGCTGTCCCTGCCAAGGAACAGTCGGCCAAGAAACCCCCTCATTTAGGGAGGAAAATGCCGGTCAAGGACCGAGAGGCCACTCCTTACCCTAAACCAAGGGAGGGACGAAAGCCTTTGATAAACTTGGCTATACGTCGGTTCCCTGAGCCAGGGCAGAGGAAGGCCATCCGACATATACAGCCGGATGGTTCCAAGAAAACATATTCCGATGCTCGGATGATAAAGCAAAAGAAGAATATGCAGCTTTCAGAGTCGGCCTCAACGTCGAACTTCAATGACAGCTTCCAGAATACCCTAATGAGGTATTCTCAATCAAACCGAGAGGAACAAACAGGCGACATGTCCGCTCACTCTAGTCCTCAGATGTTCCAGGCGGCCCCGTATGCGCCTCAACAGCCATACTTGCCGTATGGACAACCCTATACGCAGCCTACTCTCTTCGGAGGGCTGGCGACACCTAATGGCCAACCCTTGGACTGGCAGCTCCGACTGCTAAGACTTGGGGAACAACCCTCAGCTTTCTCCAAGGAAATAACTGAGGCCGCACAGCCGGCCAAGGTGAAGAATGTGTTGGTAGGTACTTATGATGGTACCACCAATCCTGAAGACCATCTGATGGCATACACCAACCTTATGTATCTACAAGGGTTGGATGACACTACTTGGTGTAGATGCTTTCCGGCCACATTGAAGGGCGTCGCCCAACAATGGTTTGGCAATTTGCCAGCCGGATGCATCTATAACTTTAAGACACTTGCATACTTGTTTGCGTTAAACTTCTCAATGAATATCCCTGCGAAGAAAACAAGTCTTG